TAATAATAATGATAATAATAATAATAATAATAATAATAATAAGAAGAAGAAGAAATAATAATAACTGCATAAATAAAAAAAAATGGAAGACTAAAATGCAATCGTTCTTACAAGGCACTTTTCCACCCCTGACAAGCCCCTCCCCCTCACCCTTGTCATAATAATCTGAGGTTATCAATCCACGGTGAAAATGAGCGTCACTCACTCTCGCTTGATATCATCTAATCGGTGCTAATGGCCCGAGAGCGCAAAGAGGGAGGGAGGGGGGAGGGAGGGAGGGAGGGAAGGAGGGAGGAGGAGAGGGAGGGAGGAGGAGAGGGAAGAGGGAGAGAGGGAGGGGGGGAGGAGGGAGGGAGGGAGGGAGGGTGGTAGGGACGAGGGAGGGAAGAGGGAGGGAGGGAGGAGGAAGGGAAGGAGGATGGAGGGAGGGAAGAGGGAGGGAGGAGTGAGAGAGGGAGGGAGGAGAGAGGGAGGGAGAGAGGGTGGGAGGGAGAGAGGGTGGGAGGGAGAGAGGGAGGGAGGGGGAGAGAGAGGGAGGAGGGAAGGAGGAGGGAGGAGAGAGAGAGAGAGAAAGAGAGAGAGAGAGAGAGAGAGAGAGAGAGAGAGAGAGAGAGAGAGAGAGAGAGAGAGAGAGAGAGAGAGAGAGAGAGAGAGAGAGAGAGAGAGATAGTTGCAGTTCGTCGCCAAGCCCTTTAATCTAGGGACACCTAAACCACATGTAAATTCACAATACAATGATGAGTGATAGAGATAATAAGGATGATAATGATGATAATAATAATGGCGGGGATGGGGGCTATATCACGGGCGATATCAATAACAGTAATAACCAAGATAATAATGATGACGATATCACATATATAATCTATCTCCTCCCTCGCTAAGAAAAATAAAAAATAAAATAGTCGCCTTCTCCCATACACACACACATATCAAACGAGAATGATAAGATACTCCAAATACATACATACATATGTGTATATATATATATATATATATATATATATATATATATATATATATATATATATATAAATATATATATATATATAAAACTCTGAGCATCCGAGGCAGAGCGCCAGACCAGGGCGCCTCGGCCGCAGCGTCCCCGGGGCCACCGCGCCACCGCACCGCCGTTACACCTGTGGCTCCGCAGACAACCTGGCTTAACCTACTTCCCAAAGTTCACATTCGCTCCCCCAGTGCACTACTCTTCTCGCGGGCGCTGCTGCAGACATGACAGTGAAAGTCCTTCCTTTTGGCCTTTTGGCACCGCGGAGGTTAAAGTCCTTCGGCGCTGTTTATTGGTACTGATGGCCGTTAAGGAGTCGAGGCGTGGTCTTTGTGACTGCGGGGCGCCTCCAGCTGGGCTGCTGGGCTGCTGTTGCTGTCACTGCAGTTGTTATTATCGGTAATTATTCTAGGTAATATATTCAATGCGTTTATTATTATTGCGTTTCTTACTGCTATCGCCTTTACAGTAATTACGTTCGTTATTATTATCAGTATTTTCCCTATCATTAGTATTAGAACCATTAGTACGATCCATAGTGTTGCTGTCATTCTTCATCACCTATATCATCGTGATTTTCGTAACTTCAATCACTTATTTCGAAATTAAATTGTTCGCTTTCGTCATCTTTAATGTCACAACTACATTTTCCATCATAATCTTTCTCGCTTATATTCTTATATATTTCATAATCATATCACCTCCACTTCCTCTGTACGAGCACCTGAGTCTTTACAACATACACATTAGGTTTATGTTAGTTATTATTAATACAGCGGCTACCACTATCATAGCTACTATCATTATTGCCATTATCATAGGTAACGGTGTCATTATCTTTGTTATATCATTCATCTTCTTACATCATAATCTCTCTTATCTTTCACATTTCCTATAATCCTAATCACCTTCCAGTATTATTATCAGTATTATCATTATCACCATTCACCACTATTATCATCATTATCCTAATTATCATCATTGTTATCATCACCCTCCCTACTATTTCCGACATCTTCATATTCATCATTACCTCTGTTGTCATTATTATTATTCCTGTCGTCGCTACTAGCCTTATTAACATGTAAGTATTATATGAGCCATTCTGTTTTAGGATTTTAGCAACGGCGTGAAAGACGGAGCTCCCTGAAACCTTTCAGAGAGGGAACATCTCGCATGGCTGTGTTTACGCTTGAGTTTTACAAATGATTTACACAATTTTCTGCTTTACCAATTATTTACACAAGGCGCTGGTGAAAAGTTCAGCGCTTACTATTAAGTCAACAATTTACAAATCTTGACGGAGAAGCATGTGCCTCTTGCCCCCACCCCCACCCCCACCCCCGCTGGCTCCGCCACTCATCACTATTACTATTATTTGCAGTATTATGACATCAGTCATCATCATTATTGTTATCATTAGAGTTGTGAAAATCGTTGTTCCAACAAAATCAAATGCCATAAAGAAATAAAGAAAGATAATGGTTA